GGGCATCACTGTGTAGCAATACACCCCCAGTGGTGTTCTAAAAGCAGTATGTTTTTCATCGTCCGGGTGTATCTTTATCTGATTGTAGCCAGAGAATCCGTCCATGAAAGACATCCTTTCATACCCACAGGTGTTGTCGATCATAACATCCGTGATGGGGAGTAGGAATTCGTCTTTCGGACAAGCGACATTGAGATCGCGGAAATCGATGCATATCCGGACTTTACCGTTCTTCTTGGGAACTGGAACAATGTTGGCCACCCAGTCAGGGTGTTGTTCTTCCCTAACAAAACCTGAGTCTATAAGCTTTTTAACTTCTGACTCAATTGATTCCATGATCTCTGGACGAAACCTGCGTTGTTGCTGTTTAACGGGTTTTACGTCCGGATCGATGTTGAGACGGTGCATGGCTACCTTCGGGTCAAGACCAGGCATATCTTCATAATTCCAAGCGAAGACATCTATATATTCTCGGATGAGAGATATAAGGTCTTCCTTCTCGGATGATGATAGGTCTTCAGCTATAAAGATAGGCTTGGGATCAGATTCATCTCCCATGTTGACCTGAATAACTGTTCGCGTTGTTCGAAACGCATATCCCACAGGATGTTAAGACGTTTGATCCAAGGATCGTTGGTCGACTCAATTAACTCTTCATCACCCCCTGCATCTTCATCGGGGTGGCTAGTTGAAACCATATTCACTGTCAAACTCTTAAAGAAGGGTCCGACGCTGACGTCAGATTCCCAGGAAGATGTTCCGGATGAGTGATCCTGCCGCAGATAATTACTAATTTCATATTCTGAGGCAGAGGAAGTTGTGACATAACCTAAACCTCTTCCAGTTTTATTGTAATAATCCTGAGGTTTTCCTTCAGGGGCTAGAGACATTCGGACTGGGGTTCGCCTGCCCTTCCCGAAGTTCAGACCCCGTTTTTCATTGAAATTATACCCCATTCGTTTCATTAAGTCTATATAAATTGGGTTCATGGTAATGAAATTGGGGAACTCCTTCGTCTTCCTCTGAACTTCCTCGTTTGAGTTGTTCGGGTTTGACTTTACCAAAACAGATCGGCTTCTGCCCTTTCCTTTTGGATGGGACTTTGAAGAAAGCTTTCTGTACATCTTCTGCTTCTTCATCTGAAGCAAAGAAAAATTCGATTGGCAATGTAAGTGATGCCTCTGTGCACATTGTGTGCCATGGGTTGGTACCTGCATTAGAATCATTCTCTACTGATTTATTTTTAGAGGACACATCAGGCAAGTACTCCAAAAGAAAATCTTCATTAATGCACCATTCACCCTCGCTCGGTACATTATTATTACTCTCATCTTGACCCATTACATCTAAGTTCAGTTCCCATGGACAATCTTCCTCAGGATCTGGTTCGACATCTGCTTCATTGCCACTGTCAACATCTTGAGATTCTAGGTAGAAAACAGAGTCAGTGTGGAAGTTCTCCACTCCTCGGAAAGGGTATTTTTCCGCAATCAAGGTTCGAACTTCACCCTCGTCATTGGCGTATTTCATGACCTGATGCAAGGTAGATGGGACAATGCGATTTGCATGTATCCATGGTCGTCCTAACAACAGATTGTAGGACGTGTCCGCATCTATGATGTAGCACGCTACTTCAGACTTAAGATCTCCGATTTGGCAC